ATCTTCCCTGGAGCCTGCAGAGACTGGGGGTGCTGTATCTTCCCTGGAGCCTGCAGAGCCTGGGGGGCTTGGCAGGTGGTAGGGTGGTCAGTGGAGGCTTTCGTGGTTTCTTAGTGGACCCCGTGGCCGGTGGCTGAGGTCGGTGGTCTGACTCGTTGAACAGCCTCAGAGAGGCCTCTTCATCTTGAGCTCTGGGCTTCCGTTCCCATACCTGCGTACCAAACTCGATTCCCCATCTGGGGCTGCTGGGGTGTGGTGACTCCATACTGTGCGTGTCGTGGTTTGGCCGAGACGGGTCCACTGTGGCTGTGGGGAGGGGATGTGATCTTTGCCAGCGGTGGCATCCCGGGCCTGACTCCCATCCACCAACCGGGTAGCTTAGGTTGGCCGACAGGACAGGGTAAGAAAGCAGTGTGGTGATGAAGGCCAGGAGCTCAGCTACCTCTTGGCTGAGGCAGGAGGGCTGCAAATTCCAGATCCACCCTGGCAACCTAGGAGATTCTGTCAGAAGTAAAAAGAGCGGGGTGCGGTGGTGCTCCCCTTTAGTCCCAGCCCTTGGGAAGCAGAGGCAGGTGGAGCTCTCTGAATCCAAAGTCAACATCAAGTTCCAGAACAGCCAGGACTACTTAGTGGGAGTCTTAAAAAAAAAAAAAAAAAAAAAAAAAAAAAAAAAAAAAAAGGAAAGACAGGTAAATTGAGGTCTGGGGGTGTTGCTGAGGAGTGGCTGGCTGCCTCCCTGGACTCCAGCAGGAGGGGCTGGGGTTGGAGCCCACCTGCCTACCCGGCTCAGTGTCCAGCACTGAAACAGTGAAGGAGATCGGAAAGAGGACTCAGCGATTGAGAGGACCGGACATGTGTGCTGTGGGATGTTCTGTATGTCCTGTGGGAGCCCTTCTTGGGTTCTTTGTGGCGTTACCCAGCAGGTCCGCATAGAGGATGATTAGGACCATGGGCCTGAGTGCAGGTGTCTGAGATGGTCTGCACTTGGCTGTGCTGGGGGATGGTCTGTATGTCAAGTTGTTCTGATTGGTTAATAAATAAAACCTGATCGGCTGTGGCTAGGCAGGAAGGATAGGCGGGACTAACAGAGGAGAAATAAAAGGACAGGAAGGCAGAAGGACTGACTGCCAGATGCCGCCATGACCAGCAGCATGTGAAGATGCCGGTAAGCCACCAGCCACGTGGCAAGGTATAGATTTATGGAAATGGACTAATTTAAGATATAAGAACAGTTAACAAGAAGCCTGCCACGGCCATACAGTTTGTAAGCAATATAAGTCTCTGTGTTTACTTGGTTGGGTCTGAGCGGCTGTGGGACTGGCGGGTGACAAAGATTTGTCCTGAATGTGGGCAAGGCGGAAAACTCTAGCAACACATGTGCTCTTGCCGAGGGCCCGTGGGCTCAGTTCCCGGGGGTCGAAGGCTGTGCTGTCTGAAGGCACGTGTATTCGTGTGCCCGTAACTTAATGGGAAGGGAAGGTTAAAGAGCAGCCCCTCCCAACCTGGGAGGGGAAGGAGGACCTCTCAGGCGCCGTACATGGCCTCCCTCCGTGACCTGGGTTCCAGAATGTGGCCTTCAGGACCCTGTATCATTCTGTTCCTTTCTTCATTTTGGGGTCCCGAGGAAGAATCCTGAGCTCTGTGTGTAGTAGGCAAAGGCTCCACTGAAGTGTACCCTGAACCCCTGAGTTCCTGTGGTCTCTGGCCACTCTGGGACCCCAGAGCAGCTATACCTACTGTAGTGAGGGAAAACTGACTGAGATCAGAGGCCGGACCTGGAAAGCCTCCGGGAAGGTCACAAGTGACAAGGAACGATCAGGAAATCTGTCGGCCTGGAGGAGCACCAGGGTCGCGTGCTGGCTGGGGTTCTGATTGGGCACCTGGGCTGGCATTAGAGGAAAGCTGTTTGATACCTGAGGACACCCAGAGGGCCAGAGTGGCCGCTGAGTGGTGCGTGCCTGTTCCTCAGCACTCTGGGGCTGAGGCAGGAGGATCAGGAGTTCAAGGTCATCTTTGGCTACACAGCAAGTTTTAGGCCAGCCTGGGCTACCTGCTGAGGGCCGCAGGAATATATCATAGGAACTCAGCTGGTTATGGCAAAGTCACTACCTGGAGAGATCAGGGAATTCCTCCAGAGGAAGCCAAATCCCAAGGAGTTTTTGGTGTTACTTGGCGTGTTATATATCAGCTGTCTTCTGTTATGAAAATCATGTGTGCCTTCATAGCTTTCCCAATTGACTTTCCCTAAGAAAGACTAACAGTGTAGACTGATCACTCTCTGGACATAGACATTCCAGGTATTTGGAGAACAGCCTCAGGAAGGCTTTCTCTGGAATCAGATATCTCCCTTAGCCACTTTCAAGAACTAACAGTGATAACGGCCCAAACCGCCTAGGTCAGGTGGATGTTAAATAAGAGCTTTACACAGTTTAGCTTGGACCCTCCTTTCTTATACAACCCAGAGACCCCCTGACTTCTTTCCTGACCACTTCTAGGAATGTAGACTGAGCACATAGATTCTCTTTTTGATATACTAACGGTCATTAGCACTCAGTTGACCTCCGCTTTTACCACTCCCATTTTGGATTGTAAAAGAGAGCCTGGCTGGCGGTGGTGGCGCACGCCTTTAACCCCAGCACTCGGGAGGCAGAGGCAGATGGCCTCTGTGAGTTCGAGGCCAGCCTGGGCTACAGAGTGAGTTCCAGGAAAGGCACAAAGCTACACAGAAAAACCCTGTCTCGAACCCCCCCCCCCAAAAAAAAAGAAAGAAAGAAAGCCTGGTGGTCACTGCCTTTATGATCCTATAGAATTCAACCTGGTGACCTTGCTCGACCAGGGGCTTGCTATAACTGGATTCTGGGGAGACTTAGGTAAACGTGGAGATTGGAGGACGGAGAAGAGAAAAGAGACTGGAAGAACTAGATGGGTAAGAACTTGAGAGGAACAAACTGAGATGGGGAAGAACTAGATTGAAGGGCTACAAGAGAGGACAAGAGGAACGAGATGGAAGATGAGGAAGAGCCAGATGGGAAGAACAAGATGAGAAAGGAGGAGATGGGAGAGGAGGAGATGATACGGGAAAGAACTAGAGGGATGAGAACCTAGGAGGGACAGAACTAGATGAGGAATTAGAACCTGGAGGGGACAGCAGATAAATGTAAAGAGAAACTGGGCAAGAAGGGAGCTAAAAATGAGAGCAGAGTGTAAGCTTGAAGAGAGAGAACTGACAGAATAATAAAATGTATGGACTAAGGAGTTTCGTGTAGATAGATTCATTTCTTTTCATCAAAGATTAATTATCAGCTGGTTGTAGATTCTTCCCGGACCCTGGGAGGGGACTATCGAGGGGCTGGACCCCCGTAGTCCCCGATAGCTACCTGAGACCTTATCTACAAAATAAAGCAGGAATTGGGGAGAGAGTTCAGTGGATCAAGTGTTTGCATCCACATAAAAGCCAGACAGACGGCTGTGAAGATAGGGATCCTTGGAGCAGCCTGGCTAGCTAGAGCCTGGAATTGGCGAGTTTGGGGTTCAGTGAGAGACCCTGTCTCAGTAGAGTGTCATGGTAGATGCCCAGCATTGACCCGGCCAGCTTTCAAATTCACTGAAAGGCCAGACATCAAGGGCTTTCAGCTGGTGTTGGCCGTCACACGGTAGAGCACTTACCCAGCATG